TTTTTTTTTTTTTTTTTTTTTTTTTGAGACGGAGTCTCGCTCTGTCGTCCAGGTTGGAGTGCTGTGGCCGGATCTCAGCTCACTGCAAGCTCCGCCTCCCGGGTTCACGCCATTCTCCTGCCTCAGCCTCCCGAGTAGCTGGGACTACAGGCGCCCGCCACGGCGCCCGGCTAGTTTTTTGTATTTTTTTAGTAGAGACGGGGTTTCACCATGTTAGCCAGGATGGTCTCTATCTCCTGACCTTGTGATCCACCCGTCTCGGCCTCCCAAAGTGCTGGGATTACAGGCTTGAGCCACCGCGCCCGGCCACCATCTTTAATTCTAACCAGTCTATTGTATCAATGATATAATATCAATGATAATGAAATAATTGGACTAATAGTGTTTTGGTCTATGAAATATCATCTATTAATTCAGTAATTATTTGTGGAGTACCTGCTATTGCTTAGCACTACTTCAAATGATGCTGAAAACATTTGAAGAATAAATGATGAAATAATTATTCATAACTTTTAAGCACCTTCTTCCTGGTGTTCATTGTTAAACTTACGTGAAATATCTGTACATGACTCAGATACTTTAGAAAAATATTCTCATCAAAAAATCCCAGCACAATTAAAAAGATTTAATAAGCTATTTGTGATGCCTCCTCACATAATTCTCACAATTCTGGGGATAGCCTAATAATCACTAGCTGTTGACAGACAGAAGAAATAGCCAAATCCAATAGCTTCAAAGGACCATACCTCGAATGCATGATTGTTATAGAAGCGGTCTTCTACCTTACTCCCCCATTCTGCTGGATCAAAGTTGGTTTCTAAATAATAAAAATATAGTAACTTCAGATTTACTTGAATTCATTAAGGTAAATGTAGAATAGTAACACAAATATAAGTTTCTCTTTTCAAATTATAGGTTCTTTACTGACAGTCCAAAATCTTATTGACATTGTACATAGCCTAGCACTGCAGACATTACCCGTGATTATTAAATATATAATAACCAACTGAACATTGGATGAGCCTTTGGGGATATTTAGAAAAGCACTAAAAACATAATTTCTGCCTTCATAGAATTTATAATAAAAAGGGAAAAAGAACAAATGCCAGTACTTAAATATAAATGTAGACACTTAGAACATGTATTAGTAAACACAGAAAAATGTATAAAACTAAATGCTAAGTTGTCAGAAAGTTTGGAAAAGTGAAGGATGGGAGAAATTTTTTTTAATGAAGTATATTATGTAGACAGTTGACGTAGACAAGGAGAGGTATTTATTTTTACATAATTTTGTCTTTAACTTTATATTATGAAAAACTTCAAAGTTAAAAAGTAGATAGGATAACAAACTCCCATAAGCATATTGTCTAGATTCAATGATCAACCCATGATTTATTTTATCTATAACCTTTTCTTCTAATTATTTTTCTGCACTTTCTTCTGATTATGTTTAACACAACCCCTCCCTTGCATCCTGTTATTTTATCTACAATTATTTATTTCACAATGTATCTCAATATATACTCTCTTAAAATATAACCACAACACCATATCATACTTCAAAATACTAAAAATATTAACAATTCCCTAATATCCTCAACTATTCAGTCAACTATCCAAATTTCTTCCATTGTCTGTTTATTTGTTGGTTCAAATCAGGACCCCGAAAATGGGCATGCACAGCCCTTTGTATGTCTTTTAAATTTCTTTTAAAGGAAGATCCCCCAGTCCCTATTCTTTCCTTGCAATTTATTTGTTGATGAAATTAGGTCATTTTCTCTTTGGAGTTTTTCACAGTTCAGATGTTTCTGATTATCCCCATGGTGGCTTTTAACAAGTTCTTCTGCCTTTGAATTTCCTGTAGACTGGCAGCTAGATGTATAGATTTGATCTGATTCAGATTTGATGGTTTGATTTTTTTCTGCAAGTATACTTGATTGGCAGTGCTGTGTAATTCTGTCATAAAATTTATAATATCTGGTTACTCTTTTTATAATTTTTATTGGCCCCCTGATGATCTTTGCTTAGATCATTTCTTTAGGGGTTGTGAAATGGTAATGCTCTAATTTGATCAATACTTTTTTATTTTCTGGAGTACTCATTAAAGAAAACTTTTTCTCATCAACTGTTTGGTTACTCTGAAGAACAGTTCTTACAGAAAAGAAAGGTTAAAGGTTTAGTTCTTTCCTTTTATTTATCAGTTTTCAGAATAATCAGTTGGATTCCTCGGATCCTCTCAAGATGACCAATGAGTTTTTTCTTTAACCATCACAAATTCACGAATGTTTAAGAAAATGGATTCATTTCAATCCAATGCACATATTATTCTTATTGATGCTCTAATTATTAAACATTTGTCCAGTGGTAGCTTATTCAGGTGCTCAAATGTTCCTGAGTCCTTTGGAAACATCTCTAGCAACCTTTGATAGCTTCCTTGTTTTCTGGTATGGCAAGACGTTCAGCCTAATCTTGTATATTTCCTGCCAAGTTCATGAAATTAGCTTGTTCTCCAAGAAGCCCTCATTCCTGGGAATGGTATTTAGAGATGACAACCTAGAAGCTGGGTGCTCACTGGTACTAGGTTGGTCATTGTTTTGAGGCCTTTAATGTACAGAGCTAGAAAATACTTCTTTCATTTTTTAAAGAGAAAACATGAGGTTACACTGATATTTTTCAACTCAAATTTAAGATTACAGGATTTTATTAACCTCTTTCATCTTCATAATTGTATGTTATTTTTCCTACACCAAAAATCTTATTCCTAATAACACTAGCTTAGTTCCTTACTTGCTTTGTTCTACAATACATAAATTCAATATATAATTTCAGAATAACCATACCATAATATGATTAACAATGATTACTGAATGCAGCTTAAGGGTTTTTTTTTTTAAAGTTCATTTTGTTTTTAGGATATATGCACTAGGCATGTACAGTCAAATTGCTCCATTGTAATATCACTTGAAATAATTCCTTTCTGTGTGGTTATGTCACCCGATCTATACTAGTTAGGCTCATGTGTTTCACTTTGCTTTTACATTTTAGAAACTGCTTTTCTTGGCCTGGTGCGGTGGCTCACGACTGTAATCCCAGCACTTTAGGAGGCCAAGGGGGACGGATCACGAGGTCAGGAGATCGAGACCATCCTGTCTAACATGCTGAAAACCCGTCTCTACTAAAAATACAAAAAAAAAAAAAAAAAAAAAAAAATTAGCTGGGCGTGGTGACAGGTGCCTGTAGTCCCAGCTACTCGGGAGGCTGAGGCAGGAGAATGGCATGAATCCAGGAGGGAGCTTGCAGTGAGCCGAGATCAGGCCATTGCACTCCAGCCTGGGCGACAGTGGGAGACTCCGTCTCAAAATAAATAAAAATTAAAACTACTTTTTTTTTTTTTTTTAATCTTGAGACGGAGTCTCGCTCTGTTGCCAAGCTGGAGTGCAGTGGTGCGATCTCGGCCCACTGGAACCTCTGCCTCCCGGGTTCAAGCCATTCCCCTGCCTCAGCCTCCCAAGTAGCTTAACAATTTTAAATTTAAAATTATAACTATGTAAACTTTTATGATTCCAAATTCAAGATATTTTCTATAATGTTCTCTCTAATCTACCCTGTTCACTTTCTCCTAAAGGTAAATGTTAAGTTTTTAAAGATTTACTTTTCCATTTAAAAATAAAAACAAAGCTGGGCATGGTGCTTCATACCTATAATCCCAGCACTTTAGGAGGCGGAGACTGGCAGATGCTTGAGCTCAGGAGTTCAAGACCAGCCTGGGCAACATGGCAAAACCCTGTCTCTACAAAAACAAACAAACAAACAAACAAAAACAAAAAAAACCCCAAAAAACAAAAATTAGCCCAGCGTGTCTGTGCATGCCTGTAGTTCCAGCTACTTGGGAGGCTAAAGTGGGAAGACTGCTTGAGCCACGATCCACAATTATACCACTGCACTCCAGCCTGGGCGACAGAGCCAGAGCCAAATCCTGTGGCAAATACACACACACACACACACACACACACACACACACAGAGATATATTCATATCAATCTCTTTTGTTAAATGATAGCACGCTGGCCAGGTGTTGTTTCTCACAGCTGTTATGCCAGCACTTTGGGAGGCTGAGGCAGGAGGATCATCACTTGAGCCCAGGAGTTTGAGGCCAGCCTGGACAACATTGTGAGACCCCCGTTTGTATTAAAAAAATGGTAGCACACTAAGCACACTTTTCCCCATCTTGCTGTTTTCACTGAATATATCCTGAAAATCACTGTACAGTATCATCCATAGTATTATCGAGAGGTCTTTCTCATTTTTGAAAACAGCTATATATATAACTCAGTTGTGTAGATGTATTATAGTTTGTTCACTCAACCTCCTATGGGTATTTGGGTTGTTTCTACAAAGAATGATGCACTGAAAAGTGTAGAAGTGGCACTTCTGGGTCAAAGGTTTAATACATATATAATTTTGGTAGGTATTGCTAAGTTCCCCTCCTGGAAGTTATGGCATTTTACTTATCTACCAGCAATGTATATAAATGCATATTATCCCACAGCCTACAGAGTATGTTGGCTCTTTGCCAATGTAATGGAGGGGTTGTTATTGGTAGCTCAGTGTAGTTTTGATTTGGACTTCTGTTACTATGGATGTTTGAATATCTTTTCATAAGTGCCATTTATATTCATTTTTGTGTGAATTGTTTGCTCATATCTCTTGCCAATATTTTCTGTTGGGTTCTATAAGCCTATAACATACTGTTTTTACAAACTATTTATTTATTAGGGCTATTAACCCATTGGGATGTAAATGCAAATATTTTTTGTCTTTTGTAGTTTTGTTTTCCTCACAGTGCTTTTTCTCATGTAAAAGTTTACTTTTATGTTGTCAGTTTATAACAATCTTTTCTCTAATTGCTTCCAAATTTTTAATTGCAATTAAAGCAATTTAGCTAGCAAAATTTTTTCTTCTCTTATAGAGAAATTCATCCATGTTTTCTTCTAGTATCTGTATGGTTTCTTTTAAAAAACATTTATATACTCGACTAATTTGGAATTTGTCCTTGTATATGACATAAGAAATTGATCCAATTTTATCTTTTTCCTTCTTTATCTTAAAATAATAAAAAGTCCACCTTTTTCCTAGTGACCTGAAATACCATTTAAATCATATACTAACATGTTTCCTGTCACAAAAATAACAATTAAGAGTAGTAACCACCTATGATGAATGCTGGCAAGGGAATTCTTGCATTGTGTGGGAGACTGAGCCAGAAGTCCACAGTGATTACTTTTTTTTTCTTTTTGAAGAGACTGAATTCTGATACTTATATCTTCTGGATAATTTGCCTCTGGTTGACATGGGTGGAATTGGGTGTGGTGCTTACAATTTTTTCAAATGGTTTTACTAATTGTTTTTGAGAGCTAGTGTCCTGAGACCATTAATCTGAATCATTATTTGCTTTAATTATTGTGATCCAGTAACAATGATGCAAATGTTTTTCTAATGGAATGTTTCTGAGTTCTAAAATTAAATAAATGACTAAAGACTTTTACTGCATGAATTTGTAGTTAATCTTATAATAAAATTAATGTTCATTACAATTCACCTCTTTTCCCAAATAATTTTTTTCCCCTTCCAACTTTTATTTTAGGTTCAAGGGACACATGTGCAGATTTGTTACATGGTTAAATTCTGTGTTAAGGGGCTTTGGTGTAGAGACAATTTTGTCACCAAGGTAATCAGCATAATGCCTGATAGGTAGCTTTTCAATCCTCACTCTCCTCCTACCTTTTCCCTCAAATAGGCCCCCAAGTCTATTGCCAAATGATTTCTCTTAATAACTTTCCTCTTCTACATATAGTTTATCAAATGTGCTCAGTGGAAAATATTTAAAGTTTCAGATTGTGCAACAAATATTCACACTGACCGGATATGGAAAAGACCAGCAACGTTCAGGAAACTGGCAGAGATTTTGAGCTCTGTGAGGGCAGGGCATAAAAAGCAAGGGGTGGAGCTATGCAGTGTGTGTGGGAGTTGTTTTAATTCCACCCTTGTGCCAGGTTTTCTTCCACTATAAAATGATTACAATTGAATGTTTGTTTGCTTGTGCCTGTTTCTAGTCACCTTTACCACTCCGTTGGAATACTGTAATAAAAAGTAATGATGACAAGAATTTGCACAAAATGGATATTCTAATCAAGAATGGCTTTCCGGGGGTTGGGGCGGGGGTCACAGGAGTGGGGAAGGGGACTCACTGTGTTGCCCAGGATAGAGTGCAGTGGCTATTCACAGGTTTACTCATAGCTCACTACTGTCTTGAATCCCTGGGCTCAAGTGATCCTCTTGCTTCAGCCCCTGAGTAGCTGGTACTAAAGGTGCGCACCACCATGCCTGGCTAAGGATAGGTTTTTAGTACCAAACTGGTAAAGTCCTGACAGTCATAAACCTTCAAGGTTGGGGATTTATAAATTTTATTATGGGAGTGAAGGAATTTTGCTTTGGCTTTCAACCAAAGAGTTATTGTTAGTGGGGATCTGGGTCTCTGTGCAGGATGGAATTTAGCATAAAGAATATAAATTACGTTTCCAAGCTGGTAGTTCGCCTTTCAAAGCAGGTTGTCTGTGCCGTTATTGCAGAAAAGTTTCATATACCCCAGTGAATATCAGTTTATTTAAGGAGTGCAGAATTCTTTTTGCAGCACTTATAATACTTACAAATGGAAGGAATCAAAATTGAAAGGAAACTACAGATACTCATCTCAGGAATAATAGTCAGCTGCCAGGGATGCACAAGAACAGTGTGCTGGAACGTGACGAGGGTAGACTATATGATCTTTTTTCCCCCACTGATTTCTCCCGAGAAATGTATGTTCTTTTGCAGTTACCTTCCACACTGCATGCCCGTGAGAAATACAATGAAGATGGTCTGAATAATCAACTGGTAATCTTCGATAATACGAAATGAATTTAAGAAAACATATCAAAGAGGTACATACTGTTTCAAAGAGCAAGAACTGTTAATGGAAACTCCCTGCCTCATAAAGGCTTTCTGCAGAATGGAGATGGTCTTAAGCAAGTTTTACTATAAACAAATGTTTAGTTTCTTATTTTAAAAAATGACTAATTTTAGAAAGCTTACTCTCTCTTTTCTCTAGAAGGCTCTCAAAATAGGCTGCTGCAAAAGCTGGTATATTGTCCGGTTGCTCTCTCAGAATCTCGCGTGTCAGCCCTTCAAGAAGATTCCCAAATCCTTGTGGAATTCGGTAGTGGGTGTTGGAGAATGGAATCGACATCTTCTTGGTAAGAACTGCCTATGGAACCTAAAGATTCATTAAAGAATACTGTCTTTAAATTTATCTGATTTTACTTTTATAATCACAACTATGCCAACAAATTATTTCTGAGACCCACATTTTTTTAACTTGAATTCTTTTTTCTCTAACACAACCCAAGTCCATCTATTTCTTCCAAAGGGTTTTGTAATCTCCATTATGGATTAGAAAAATACAAATACAGACCCATTCACTAGGCCAAATCATTTTTTTAAACCTTACAAAAAACCCATAATTTTCAATATGTCTTTTTCTCTTTACCCTTTGTATTCTCAAAAGGTAAGGGTAATTTTTGCTATCACACAGGAATTTAGAGAGAATGATTGTTAAAAACTTAAATTGAATTCATTATCAATTGCTGAGAAGACCCTGTTTGAGGTCTATTTTTTTTTTTTTTTTAAAGAGTAGAAATTAGTCCTGGTTCTAGAAATTAATTTGTTGAATGAAGAAGTTGCACAACCTTTCCCTTTGCTGCCACTTCTGAAGCATGGCCCACAATGCTTCGAACACCTTTGTACTGTGGAATGGGGTTGTGCCTGCGTGTGTGTGAGGGAGGGATGGGATGGGATGGGGCTGTGTGCCACGATTTTGAAATCCCAGCCTCTAAAGTTTTAGAATTCTTGTATTTTCCGGTTTCTTCTTGACCAGGCTGTCTCTTTCTGTCTTGCAATACAAGGGCCAGATTAAGGGTAGCTGCTAAGCAGTGGGCTGAGCTGCTGAGTATGAAAAGACCTGGCCTGTTAACGTGAGAGTGTGCGTCAATGCGGAATAGAGGTGGAAGCCGTGGTAGGGGTGCAGGCTGGGAGAACTAGGCGGTTTGATGAGACTATGGAGGGTTCTCGTTTCATCGCTTTTTTCTTTTTTTCCTTTGAGACGGTGTCTCTGGCCTGGAACTCCTGGGCTCCAGCGATGCTCCCGCCTCAGCCTCCCGAGCAGTTGGGATTACAGGCGCGCGCCACCACGCCTGACTCCTCTCTTTTGCTTTTTCTGAGGGAGCAGTAGATAGAGGTATCGAACCATTCTAGGGTGGTGAAAAGGGCTGGCGAGATTCTGAACCAATGTGGGCAGAGGAGGGCGGGCGGAGGGGCAGATGTTGAGGACCTGGGATTTCAGATTCGTGCAGAATGGGCTGCCTCGGCTCCAAACGGCCCAGGGCTCCGAGGATGTGTCTGGGATGCAGAGAGAGTACAAGAGACGAAGGGAAAAGGCTAGGTCTCGGTGTCGGAGAGGAAGTGGGGAAGCAGCCTCACCTCCTTTCTCTCCAAGCAGGTGCCGCCGGTTCCGGTTGTTTTTCTCGTTGCTGGGTAACCGTTTTTACTTTAAAAAAAAAAAAACAAACTACGGCGGCCGAGAAGGGGAGCGCACGGCCCAGTCCTGAGGTCGCGGGAGGCTCCGAGGACTGCAAAAGGGTGGAGCCGGCCTCACCCCCGCCCAGGCCCCGCCCCTGCCCAGACCCCGCCCCCGCCGGGAGCCCACCTTCCCAGTCCCGAGCGGCGGGCGGATCCTTGCAAGCATGGTGGCGCCGGGGCTTGTACTCGGGCTGGTGCTGCCATTAATCCTGTGGGCCGACCGAAGTGCAGGTGAGGCGGCCCGGCTCGGCCGGACCCCTGCCCCTCAGCCTGTGCGGGCTCCGAGACCCCGTGTCCCCTGGGGGACACGGATCCGCGCCCCTTTCTCAAGGTCGACGAAGGAACCTAGCTAGGCTAGGTGCTCGCGTCTCCGACCTAGGCCCGGTCTGCAGGGGTCTGCTGGGTTGGACCCCGGCCTCTCCACTTTCTCCACCCCCGCTCACCATTCCTAACATGCAGCCTGTGCGCAGGAAGAAAGTGCGGTTTGTCTCAGTGGGGAGGCCCAAATGTACCCAGAAAGAGGCTTTCGGGGTCCTGGAGTAACTGCAGGGGAGCTCGGAGGAAAGGAGGGGAAGCTAGTTAGATAATATTTGGAAACAGGTGACTGAATCTTCCAAAACATTTCAGCGCTACCCCCTCAGTGGTGCCCTTGGGGAGGGTTTGCTTCAGGCGGGGTTCCTTAGGGGAATTAAATTTTACTCGTTTAAGTGGTTATTAGGGCTAAGAAATACAACCCCCTCACTAGCTCAGACTATTTAAGGCTCAGTTTTGATTTCTGGTGCAGCTTACAGATATTGGTGGTGAGATAATGTGAGTGGCATAGGGGAGGCTGCTGGCTCGCTTTGTGCAGGTCAGATCTTGATCTTGCCATTCGAATACCTTAGGCTGGATACTGGGTCACAGTATGGAGAAAGCAGAAGGTACAATCTGTCTGATAATGCAAACTGAAGTGATAATAATGTTGGATTTCTTCCTTTCTTTTAAAAAACTCTCAAAGCGTGGACCCCAGCGATCCCTGTTAAGAAATGAAAGTTTGGGCAGGAGAACAGCGTGCAGAAAAATGAACGCTGCTCTACCTGACAGCCGGAAAAGTACCTAGATTCAGACAAACTACAGGCCATAAATGATTGTTTAGAGTCTAACAAAAGTGCAAAATGCTAGCACTCTGTATGCCATTTCCTGACTCTTATCTCCACTCAGTGACCTTTGAGATCCATCTTATGAGGTAGGGAGAAGATATTTTATTAGATTGTCAGTTAAAGGCTGTTTATTTTAGTGTCAGTATTTTATCCTCCTTTGGATAGTATTGTTACATCACCTTCATTAACATTGGTCACATTTTTCATTCGTTAGTACTCTACTTGGTTGCATATTCTGACATTTTTCCTTTAAACCATTCTCCCTGTGCCCATGTTTACCATGTAATACTTGAGATGTACAAAATTATATGTAGCAATAACACAATAAAATGAACACCTATGACAGCAGCACCCAACTTAGAACTAGAACAGTGCCAGTCTATTGAGCCTGGCATTGTGCTCCTTGTCAGTGCCTCCGGAACTCCTCACCAGAGGCAACCACTGTCCTAATTGTGTTATTCCACTTTTAATGATTCTTTTCCCCATAACACTCATTCCTGTTTTTCTACTCCAGCCCCAAATGAAGGAAAAAACTGAAGATCTAAAAAATCCAAATGTTGGCTCACACCTTTAATCCCAGCACTTTGGGAGGCTGAGGTGGGCAGATCACTTAGAGTCGGAAGTTCAAGACCAGCCTGGCCAACATGGTGAAACCCCATCTCTACTAAAGATACAAAAAAAAAATTAACCATGTGTGGTGGCACACGCCTGTAATCCCAGCTACTCAGGAGGCTGAGGCAGGAGAATCGCTTGAACCCTGGAGGCGGAGGTTGCAGTGAGCTGAGATCGCACCACTGCACTCCAGCCTGAGTGACAGAGCAAGACTCTGTCTCAAACAAACAAACAAACAAACAAAATCAAATGTTAAATGTATGTGTCTCGCGTTTGACATGAGGAATGACTAGCCTTGCTCTCTTTCTCATTCTCTCTCTTTTTTTTTTTTGTCCATTGTACAATTCCTTGATGTTCCACTGTCTACTCTAATGAGCTTAGAATTTAAACTTTACAAAGACAAGGAATATGATTTTTTCTTTGATTTGCCGCAAGTATCTAACTTCGGCAAAAAGGGAATTTCAAGTTTGGAATCAAGTGACTTGTTTTCTAACTTCGTCATAAACTATGTTATTTGAGACCAAAGGACATTAATGTTTGTGGTATGTTTAGCACTGTGCCTGCCACAGGTAAAGTCTCTAGTAGAGTGGAAGCTCCCTGCAGGCAAGGATTTTTGTCTGTTATTATTATTATTATTTTGTCATCGTTATATCCCCAGTGCTTAAAATAGTAGGTATCAATAACTATTTGTTGAATTAACTAATGAACATGCAAGCTATTTTAAAAAATTGTTTAATCTGCCTTTGGTCTCAGTTTCTTGATCAGTAATATGATTATACTTCTTGATCAGTAAGTAACATGTTTATACTACGGTTATGAAGATCCTTTCCACCTCTAAAACTCTTTAGCCCAGCACAGAGTCATTCACAAAGATGTTCATTAAGTGTATATTGGTGAAAACAGACAGACTTGGAAAGGTATTTCCCCTAGCCTATGGGCTACTGACTGCACACAAATGTGCAAGCTGCAGCCATTCCCCTACCCCCACCCTCTCTCTACTTAGCTCTTATTTATGTCTGTGGTTTTCCTTTTTTTGGTTCCATATGAAGCACCTACCCAAGACAAGGCCCTCCCACACATGTGCCTCCCCCTTCCCCCCAGCAGGCTGCCAACCTGCTTATGCAATTCTGGGGCGTTGTATTCTTTTCTTAGAGCATTTTGCTCATGGTAGCTTTGCATCTCCAACCCAGTAGGCCTTCTGGGTGATCTTTCATTGTCATGTAGGTTTCATGATCACAGTAGGTTTCATGATATTTGAGCTGAATCATATATAGCTCATAAGAGAGAGCTGAAGATTTTTAGTGACTTGCCTGTTATTCCAAGAGCAGGATAAATAGGCCACGGAGCTGTGTAGGCGACTCCATTAGCTGTGCTGCCCTGTTAAGTATAGCCGAAGGGGCCCTCATCATTTGTAGCTTCCAGGGAGGAAAATGTCAGCCTTGTTAATTCTGATTCTTTTTTCTGCCTATCATTTTTGTTTAAAATGCTTAAAAAGATCTTAATTTTGTTAATTATTATCTTTTAGGTAATTTTGGGTCTGTTTTATTCAGATAAATTGGGATATAATTTATTTTTTTCCTTGTTAAGTTTTGATGAGGAACACGCTGAGATAATTTGGATGGATGTTTGTTATTAATAAAATACTTCTATATAGGCTGGATGTTAAAAATAGGAACGATCTCGTTAAAGCGAGTTCTTATTCAGTCTTGTTAGTGACTCTCTAGAATAGAATCCAGTTTCTAGTGTGCTTTATCTTGTCCTTTTAGTATAATTTAGCTTGTGGAATGGGTAAAATTGTGACAGAAGACTTTTGTTCAGACATGTTGACCTTCTGTCTCTCGCTGACCTTATTTATGTGTCTTGATTTATTTGAATTTACCTGAGAAGGACGCTGACTTGTCATGAATATTTATAAGGGCTTATTTAGAATTTTTGATGCAGTACACTGGTTTGTCAAAAAACTGTGATAAGGGGCATTATTTGAAGGAAATTGGCATTAGTGGCATGGAAAAGGGGAGATAGAGAAGGGGAAACAGATTAGGGAAGGCTGTTTGGAGAGAGGCACGCTGCTTTATTCCCAGCCATTAGGAGTGGGCGTGGTAATGGAAAACAGGGAAAGGAAGTGGTTTATTTTTCTCATAAACACCGTCTATAGGGTGCATGAAAGGAACATTTTAGTGATTTAGCGGGACAGAGCCCAGTGTTAGGGCCAGGCCTGAGAACAAAGACAGATCAAGAGCTCTGAAGGGGAGGGAAGACTATGGTCTGTTGGTTGCTTTGGGCTCTGGGAGTTTTCCTTAGTGGTCATCGTGTACTATGATGCATACTGTTGGAAACTGTTCTTGTTATGTTGCTTGCCTAATTAGGAGGAAGAAGATCTAGTTTTAGACGATTAAAGGGACTTAGTATGTTAAAATTCTCGTGCATAAAGACTGTATGTTCTTTGCTGTTTCACTTGATCCAGTTGGTGCTGTATCTCTCCAATGATGCTCCCCTCAGTGTTTGCTAACGTTTTTAGGTATTGGTTTTCGCTTTGCTTCATACATCAATAATGATATGGTGCTGCAGAAGGAGCCTGCTGGAGCAGTGATATGGGGCTTCGGTACCCCTGGAGCCGCAGTGACCGTGACCCTGCGCCAAGGTCAGGAAACCATCATGAAGAAAGTGACCAGTGTGAAAGGTAAGGCAGCCCATCTTCTGTTCAGCTATTGCCCTCTTCTGCCACCTGCTGGATTATCTGAAAATGAATGCTCATGCTGTAGCTCACGTTATCCATCCATCCGTCTGTACATCCGTCTGTCCATTCATCCATAAAAGTTATTTGAATTTTGCCATGTGCTGGGCACTGAGGATACAAAGAAAAATAAGACTGAGTCAAAGTTCCTGTTCTCAAGGAACTTACGGAATAATGGGAATAGATACCAAGTTATATAGGACAGTGTGATGAATGCTATGATGAAGGTACATGTGGGGTGTCTTGGGGTACAGAGGAGAAACATTGAACTCAGACTAGGTGGTAAGGGAAAGTTTCCACAGAAGATGATATTTGAGCTGAATCACATATAGAGGAGAGGCAGTATGGAGGAGAGGGTAAGAACTCTGGTAGTTCTTGCCCAACAACATTCTTACCTTCTTACATTCTTACCTTAAAAAATCTTAAAACCCAACACTAGCACCATGTAAATCCCATTTCTTATTTTTAAACCACAGCAATTCTTTGGATTTCTAAGTCAGCATCATTTACTGAGAGTGCCATAATGTAACAATGTAAGACTTCATATTGGTAGTCTAAAGCTCTGGAA